CCCCCCCCCCAAAAGCCGTAGCGGCAAGGTCTTAATCTAGATTTCCACTCCCAGCATGTGACGCAAAGGAAGTCAGGATTTCCATCTACTTTCAGTACCTTAGGTATTATGCCTGAGCGACGGACCCGCGCTCGCCCGGATTGAAGACGCATGGCTTTTGAGAATGTGTTCAAAGTTGTGCCGCGGATTATTGATTGAAAGAATATAGTATACCTTTGAATCTGGAAATAATTGTTGTTTCCCACGCACCAGAGTCATCCACGATACCTTTGATCGGTCTCTTTCTTTCTGGGTCCGGGCTGCCCTGTCACCTTGTCCGTCGGATGAGTCTCTTCCATTGTGATCGCAACACAACTTCACTGACCTGCGCCGGCCGGTGAAATGCTTTCTCTGCCGAAGAGCTCGAGATTACGCAGTATTGGGGATCGGGGTGGAGGGGACAAACCGCGACGCGTTCGTGAGTGATGAAATCCGCCCGCATTCCAGGTTGAGGCACTGAATTGGCGCCAGGAGGACTCTCATTCTCGCAAAGCCAGCTTCTCGTGCTTTCTTCCGGGAAAGAGGAAAAAATCGGGCACGTATGATGTGATGTTGTCACGGCCAGGGTAGACCACCGAGAATAACTCTTGCATTCTGCTCTTTCTTTCTGGCAGTAGAAACAGGCCTTATCTTGCCTGGCTGGAGCGTCCGCAACACCTTGAGTTCCTCCAGTCGTTTCTCGCAGAGTTTCCCACGTTCAAGTCCGACCTGCGCGTTGGGTACATACCAAATATCACGAAATTCACACTCGTGACTGTTGAGTCCCCCCAGGTTCGAAGAGCGTCCAATTTGACCCGAGCTCTTTGCGCGACAATTCCACGACTGTGGTGCACGAGTCGAGACGTCGCTGGCTCTGATGGGTTTGTCGAGAGTGGCCCGATTTTCACCAAACTTTTATTTCGCAGCCGTGTTGCAGGACGCCCAAGGTATGGTTTTTGTTATAACTGCAGGTGTTCGCGCCACAACCCCCGATCGGGAATGAGGGTGATGCCGTTCTTAGCAGAAGCTGATTACGGAGTATAGCGTTGAGGAGAGCCGCCCCCCTCCCCACCCGGGAGCACCGGGGCGACATCAACACTACTGGGGCCCGATCGGGCGTCAAAGTCCGCACCACCGATCGGCCGACGGCGGGCCGGGTCGGGGGCAGCCTCGGACGTCCTATACAATAATTTGCGTTCATGGTTCGATTTCCGGGGGCTGACCACAGCATAATCAAGCCAATGTGACGGGGCAGCAGGATGCCGGGCCCATGGTTGTGTTCGCCTCACCTCCCGCCATTTGCGAATATATAAAAGGACGACCGGGACCATCATGAGTGAAATAGTCTGCACTGTCTACACTGTCCTTTAACAACTCATACCCACACCGAGAGCACTACAATTATTCTCCCAGTGTTGCGAAACATTCCTTTCATCCAAAGTCCACGACCCTAGGCAAAGAGCCCTGTGGAAACAAGACAACGTCAACATGGCAAGTCAGGAGGAAACCCCCCGTGATCAGGACTACTCAACTCAACGGCTCCGTCAGCGGTATCGTTTTACCGATCCCAATATGGATCTCTTCTTCCTCGGAGCTCTTGGATGGGGTTCGGCAGGGGGGTTGTCCGTCGGTGAAGCTTTTCACGCAGCATCGCAAATCATCGACGGCGATGTAGACTCTTGGGCAAATGCTTTCGTGCGCCTCGGAGTGGCACAGAACGCGCAAGCGGACACCTGGCAACGACGTGGCTGGACCCGAGCGGCGGGGGAGACACGGCTGAAGGCGTTTGCAAGCTACCGGCTGGCGTGGCAGTTCGTCGGCCCAGGGGAGCGCTTCGTGTCACTGTTCCGCACTCATCAGAGACTTTTTGCCCAGGCCATGACGGAATTGGCTTTTCCCTTCACAAGCTTTACTGTCCATTACCAGAATGGCAACCTTCCCGGGTATTTCTACCAGGCGACTGATCCTTCTGCGCCCACGGTGTTGGTGATAGGGGGAGCAGACTCCTGTCACGAGGATCGGTTCCTGTCGCAAGGACGCCATTTATTTGACCGGGGCTATTCAGTGGCCTTGGTCGATCTGCCGGGACAGGGCCTCGTACAGGAACAGGGGCTATACTGGGAGATAGAGGCTGAGCGCTCGATCGCTGCAGTGATTGATCACTTGATTGGTCACTTGGATGTAGACCCACGCAAGTTGGCCCTGCTCGGAATGAGTCTCGGCGGATACTTCGCCTGCCGGGCGGCAGCACATGAGCGGCGACTGGCGGCAGTTATTGCGACGACTCCGCTCTACCGTCCGGGCGACTTGTTCAGAGAAGTCGCAAAAGGACTGCCTGGAGGTGTTGGCGCTCAGTTATCGGATGCCGCACGGAAGAACTTCGAGGTGCTGGCATGGAAAGCTGGTGTGTCTGACATAGCAGATCTGGCTGAGCAGTGGGTTGGCGCGAGTGCAGAGCCGCAAAAAGTCGAGCTACCATTCCTGTCGGTTGTGGGCGAGCAAGAAGGTTTGGTGTGGAAGAAACAGGCGAAGGAATGGCATGAGGCCATTCTTTCCAGCAAGAAGAGCTTCGTCGAGCTCAACGCTGAAACGGGTGCTGATGTGCATTGTCAAGGCAACAACACACTTCGATTGGTCCAGGAGGTGGATGGATGGCTGCGCGAGGTATTGCCACAGACCTGACCAAATAACTCCCCATTTTCGAGAAGCAGTTTAGTGGCCGAAGTTTGCTTTCCATCCCGGGCAGCAATATTTGAAGAAGTGGTGAAAGCTGGGCGCCAGATGCTGCACCGGTTGGTTTTGGTGGTGGGAGATTGCGGTCCCGTTACCCACCAAACATGTCGGCAGTCCCAGACAGAGTATCCCATTGAGTCCAGTCTAACGTCTCGTTCATCCAGCTCTCCGGGTTGTAGTCTTGATCAAATAACAAATTGTGATTATCAGGGGAGGTATCGGTGGGCCCCGGTGGAAACCCGTGCGATTGGCCATCGAGGCACTGTCCTGGCCACGACCCGTTGTCGTCCAAATACAATTGTGTCTGCTCGCCACTGAAAGCTTGAAATGATCTGGACTCTGGATAGTGGGGATCTGCGTGACCTTTCAGCAAGCCAGTGTCATCCCTGTCTGCCAGACTCAGATATCCTTGACCTGAATCAACTGGACTGCACATGTGGATGGACCGTGTCAGGCTAAGGTCGGCACTTCTGTTCTCGTGATCCTGTTTCCGAAGCTTGGCTTTCTCTCTTTGCTGATGGAATTTGAGAACGTACCATGGTCGCGGTGGCAGCGGCAATCCCTGCTCCTCCAATGCGACCTCTCGAGCTTTGTGTGCTCTCAGGCAGAGATCACCTATTGCCACGCGTAGAGGCATCTTGCTGTTGTTCACAAAGTCGGGATTCCAGTCGTAGGTCGCACCGACTAATCTCCAAGCCTTGTCATGTTCCCGACAGAGAGGATTAGCATGTAGCGTGTCAAGAACATGGACCAGTGCTTCCCATGCAAAATAAAACGATGACTGCCAGGTATAGCCGCGAAGCTGAGGGTTCGTATACAACTGTATATGTCCATCGAGGAGCTTGATAGATAATTTCCAAACAAAGTCAGTCTCCGATTCAGGGACCTTGGAGGAACCCCATCTCCGAGGGTGGTGCGAAAGAAACCGCATGGTTGTAATATTCCCCCGGGCGAACATCATAGCCATGAGCTGGACTGGTTCTAAGGGATCACAGTAGCGGATGTATTTGGTCTCTAATGTTGCCTCGAGTTCATCGATGATGTGGTCCCTCGCCTTCATGCTGTCTGGCTCTGGAGAGTTGCTCCAGAACCCATCTTCAAGTCCCTGTTGACGTCTTATACTAACATAGTTTGTCCAAAAGCCCGCAACTTCCCAGCGAATCGCACAAAGTGCCAAAGTCGTCACACGATTCGCCGCTTTTGGAGTTTCCTCCATGCCGGGGAAGAGAGCTTCGTCATCTATGTTTGATGGAAGACGAGGACTTCTTTTATCCAGTGTAGTGTTTTGGAATTTCCTCATGCCAATGAGCTCCGAGGTTCTGGAGTCGAACCAACTCAATTGCCACCAGATTCGCCGGCGGAGTTCCACTTCAAAAGGGGCCAATCCAAGGAGTTGTCCATCACGGTGCAAACCCATGCCTTCGGCCAGCCGCATGGCCATTCCCGTAAGAGTACACAAGGTGCGAGGATGGCACGTATCTCGGATTGAGAAAAGATGGAAGATGAAAGCCTGGAGGACAACAACATTCGTAGTGCGCAACACTTTGGCACGCCCGAGAGCCAACCTGGTTGCTGCAGTGTATCTCGACAGTAATGTTTGTCGTGTCTCGCCAAACTTCTGCCCGCATTCCTCGTCGCGCAAGGTGAAAACTGCGAGACTGTAGAGAGCAAACATCAAGGCCTCGAAACTCCGTGACATCCGGTCCGGATTGGCCATTGCCGATTGAATTAGTCCCTCCACTGTTGGCGCATGTACGATCTTCACCACCGGGTCGACATTGTCTCTGAAGGTCTGCCACAGCACGAGAATGTGTGCCTTCGGTGGATGCGTCATATTGACGCTGTCGGTTGCCCCCGCCAAGTCCGACAGGAAATCGTAATTGTAATCATCGCTATTCTCATTGTCGCTTTCCTGATCAGACACGTTTTCTAAAGTGATGCTTGGCTTAGGAAACTAAGACGGCAATGAGCCTTGATATGTCGGGATCGAAAGCTCAGCGCACACCTACCTCTTCAACTGCTCTTGTCCAGAGACCACTGACTATGTATCAGAGTTAGGTCGCCCAAGATCAAGAAGACTTACCTCTCCAAATAAGTCAAACTCCCAGCATTGTAGGCTCGTCGTGAAGAGGAAGGAACTTGTTCGGGCTCAGAAACGGTTTCCGGCACCGGAATCTCCGTGTGAGACGCCCTTACTGCCGGAGATTGACTGCCGTCCTCCAGCGCATGTTCGCCACGAGCTGTTGGCGTTCCATCATTTGCACCAGCGTCAACCCTTTGTCCCTGAAGCATAGATTCATATCTCCTAAGGCGTTGAATCAAGACCCGGTTGGGGGTGGACTGTTTTCTTGTTTTACGTGGACCTAGTGGGCGATAGACACATTCAAAGTCGAATCTTAGGCAAGCCGTACAAGGGTGTTTCTTGTCACACTTGACCTTACGTTCAGAGCATCGGACGCAGGCATGCGTAGCTGCTGGCTGCCGTGTAGGGGTCGGAGTAGCTGAGGAGCTCATGCCAACTGAATGTGTCATGAAAAAGTACAATCGTTGTAAGTTGTACTCTATCCACACACCTCAATCGATTAGGGGCGTCGATCCGACACGATTTACAAGAGAGTGAGAAGAGGGTGAGTCGCGAGCATGTCGTCTTGAAAGCGGCACCGTCTCCGTGAGCGCGCCGAGAGCTGGGACGAATTGTTAATTGCTTGTGCTATCAAAGCGTTCTCCTTGCTGACTAACTCTATGGAGCTTACTAAGGCCCGGGCTTAAGTGGCGCCTGGGCATCAAAGAAGACACAGTACTAGTATGCGTCATCCTCACTCCGGAATGGCAGGGAACTGTGCCTTATTGATCCCAGAAGCGAATCAAACCGAGCTTCGTCAGAAGATCTGAACATGTCGTCAATCTGCATCAGCAACTGTGGCACAGCCAGTGTCGTGTCGCCGACTAACCTATCCTCTACGTGCTACCCCTGTGACCACCGAAGACTAACCAACCAACAAGGTGGTAACATACCCAAGGTACTGACCAGGCACAGTATGTTGCAAAACACCTATCATGCAGAGAAGATGTCCCACCGAACAAAGGTAAGATATAATCCTGACAGCGCTGAGTTTGATCCCTCGTTCTCCTCCCTAGTAGGGTAGGAAATGCCAGTGCTGAGATTTTCAACATGTCACTATCATTTGAGGCTTTCCAGACTTGCACAATCAACATTTGAACACATGGGGAGCACGAGAAACACAGGGACGAAATCGCAGTTTGAGTTTACGGTTTCATTCAATCTTTTCATTGGAGAATGCTCGGGATCTGGGCACATGCTTGTCCTGTGCCAGGGTGCATCATGAGAGTGTTCCTTCCAAGTACATGCGTGTCTGTGAGTCAGACGCGAAATCCGGGCGATACAATGCTCAGCAAAAGGCCTCGCGGTTAGAAATGAGGAGGAGCATGTCGTTCGAAAGGGCAGGATCATCGTCCGAAGCTGAACCAGCCTCTCTTGACCGGTCTTTGCTCCTCCTGCTTCTTAGCTGGGACCGCAGCTTGGCCACCAATTCTCCCATTGGCGGTCTCTGCTTCTTCGCTTCTGGAGCCCTTCTGGCTAGGGTAGACAATGTAGTTGAAGGCAATGTCGAAGAACAACGGTTTGACTGGGACTGGGCGGAGTCTTGCCGGGTAGTTAACCAGGTTCGTCAAATCCACGTCGTCAACATACTCATTGCGGCCAAGGCGCTCAATCAGAGGGGCAGGTTTGACGCCTTTTGCAGCGGAGTCTTGTTTATCCTCAACGGCGGAACGAGTCTGCTTCTGCAACGATTTCAGATCCGCAAGAGCCCGGTATCGGGTGACCAGTGTGCTCAGCGTTGATGTGAGCTGAGTCAATGCTTCGCTGGTCACCCCGAGTCTCGCGGGGTGACTCGGCGGCGAGTCCACAGAATGTGTAGCAGCATCTCCTTGCAGCTTGCTTGATGCCGCCTTGGCCTGTTCGAGGGCTCGAGCATACAAAGCCAGTGCATTCGGAATATGCTCGTTAATGGCGTGTGAGCGACCAATAGCCAGGCACTTCAGGGAGCGGAAGTAGGCACGCTTCACATCGAGCTCGCCGACAAAGGCATCGTCCGCAATGACACCAGGCAATTCTTTAACAGCGTCAAGACTTTGGAGGATCGAGTCGTACAATGCGACACGTTCTCGGAGACGGGACAGTTTGCGGCCGGCGCTCTCCTCCTTGACGGTGCGCGGCTTGCCATCCTTGCGTGGCTTGGACGGCTGTCTCTGGTTCACGGGCTCAAAAGGCAACCCGTCCTCGCGGCCGCAGAGAACCCGGTTCCGTCCAATGCGCCATTCGATGACACCATAGTTTACGGCAGTGCGTGTAATCTGTAGTGATTGCATGCGAGCGTCGCCTGGGTCGACGCCTTCGGCTAGAAGCTCGTCAATGGCTGTCTTGGTGGCGTCTGCGGCGTCCTGGCGAGCAGTAATGACTTCGTCATATGCAGCGGCCAGCTCTTTGACGCTTGCAGAACCTTGCAAATATGACTTGTATGTTGCAGCCAAGGCGTCTTCACGTTCCTTTGCGAAGCCCAGTGCTTGAGATATACTGGCATCTTCAAGCTTGACCTGTCTGTTCCTCCACGAGATGGTAGATGGGACCTCCTTGGGGCCTTCGCTTGTGGCAGCGGTAGTTTCAGTTCCTAAAACAAATGCCTGGGGGTTGAGCGCTTCGACCAGGCTGCGGAGGGTCGCCTCGGCGCTCGGGAAGTGCTCGATAGCAATCTCGCCGACAGATTTGGTGCGTGGCATCTTCAATTGATATGCCGCGTATCGAATGCTTGGTTCCACGATGCTGGACACAAGATCTTTGTACAAATCTGCAGCTTGGGAAGTCCGTCCTAACGCCGTGTACACGATCTCCGCAACGGCATAGTGCTCGATGCATGGTTGCCAGCGTCCTTTTTCGAAGTCCAGACTGCCTTTCAGCATGGCCAGATACGCTCGTGCCTCGAGCTCGTCAATATCCTTGGCTCCAGTCGTGCTGCGGTCTTGAAGGACAGAGACCAGGTTTTCGGCATAGAGGATGGCCCGTCTCAGGCGAGAAGCAATCTGCCGTTTCGTGGATCCTGGCATAGCCTTTTGGGTGTTCTCGGCAGACTGTGCGGCCTTCATAGCCATGGCATCTGCCCACGCTCTCTCTGCGCTGGCAAGCAAGAGTTGCACCCATCTAGACGCAGATGTCAGTAACGCGCCCTTGCTTTCAATGTGAGAGGACTGCTTACTCTGCATTCTGGGCGACGTTTTCCGCTGTCACCGGCGATTTTGGGTTGTATTTTCGTCCACGGTTTGTGGCTCCTAGTCTGCGCCGAAGGTTGTGAATCCGACGGGTGGCTTGGGCATGATACGCATTGTAGTCCCCTCCCAACAGTGCGCGATCACGCTCAGAAATGACTGAGCTAGTGATGTTCATCTTGCGAAGCTGATTTCCCCAGATCGACTGGGTTGTTGAGCAGGATGGTCAAGAGGTGGTGGTGAGCGCAGTTTCATCATTCAATTCATTAATTGAAGTGCGACTGGGAGCGAAGTGTACCACAGTAGTGCGAGTTGTGCCCGCTACGGTCGGCGACCAAACGCCAAAGCAGAGCAGAGCAGCGGACACGGACAGCGATGGAGAAAGATTTCTAGCAATCAACATTTCGGTCAGGCCATCGCTTCAAGCTATTAATTGACTACTTACTGTTCGAAGTACCCTACCACCACTCCATGCTTTGGCGTTACGATTAATTAGATTCCCCTCTTTTATGCATTGGCGTCTTCTATTACGGCCGGGTTCAATTAGCAACCAAGTCGCGCAAAGGAGTTGCCCTCGACTTTTGCTCCGCCTCTTCAACCTTTCCGCATGACCCTGTCCTCATTACACTGTTCAGCACATCGGTTCCCCGACCAGCACAACATTCTTTCGGGGCATGCTCGAGCGTGCATCGTCATGCGTTGAGCCAGTATCTCAAGTCCTCCTCCGCCGATTCGAGCCTCCCATTCGAAGCCGCCGTATCCTTGGGCCGTCGTTCTGGAAGAATGGCACAGATGAGCTCGCAGTGGCTCCCTGGTGGCCTCTATACTTGGATAACATTAGGGGAAAGGATGGATGTCGGCCGGGAACTGTACAGGAACGGCCATGTGTTAGGTCCCGTCGTGCTGTTACAAGGCCAAGCTCTGGCCGGAGTCGTCCCTTATCCTTGACCCCGGGGCCGCCACCCTATTCCTGTCCACCTGAGAGCCTGTCGCGGGCATACACAAATCATTCAAGTTACGAGAAGATGAATCCGGGCTCAAGACAGCTGAATACCAACGCGCTAGCGGTCAGACCGAGTTACGACACCGAGGGACCGAAGTCACCAGATATGCGTGGTCAGGACATCTCGTCAATTAGTAATGGGGGTCTATTGGACGAAGATACTGGCAAGACGGTTGCTGGGCGGGAAAGCCATTCACTCGAGGCCATAGATTCGCGTGCGGATACCGCCTCTCCTACAAATCGCGATCTGAAACCACTGGACATCCGGTCCTCTCGCCCCTTGGAAGACACTGAAGAGATGCTTCAGCAAATCCTGGACGGTCGCGAAGCTCCGGTACTCGATCCGAAGGGAACGAACTTGTTTGAGACAGTCTGGGCTTTTTTCAAGCGACTACCCAACCAGGAGGCATACGCAGCAAGAGTATTCTATTTCATGTCAAAATCCACGTCACACCAAGATCTCAAGCTCGCTCTGCGAGCCTTCAACATTATCCCACACGAGAAACGAACCGTAGCACACTACGAGCGTGCTGCTCGAACGGCCATTCAGCGCAACGACTATCGATCGGCAATATCGATTAATGCAGAAGCGACCGCCCGTCATTTGAATCAAGAGTGCAGCACGTTTCTCTTGTTGCATACGGCATCGAATCAGCTATGGAAAGCTGCGGCGCAAGTCTGGTCGACGTCCTTTGAACCCCTGACACGAAACCGTCAAAGACTGTCTGTTTCGGCCATTGGCAAGATGCTTCTGGAGCAGGTAGATCGATACCAGAATTTGCCCTTGGCCGTATCCAATCTTGCAAGGGAAATCATCGATCGGCGAGCGGTAGTCATGCACCAAGCTGGACTTCTCATGCATTTAGGACGCGAGCTCTTGCATGTTCTGGTCCAAAGTGGCAGACAGATGAGCTTAGTTGACCCGGAGATGTTGGTTTCGACATTTGAACATTATAGGCAACTCAAGTTGTTAAATCCGACTGTCCATCTGCATGCCGTCAATACGCTTCTGAAATCGGTGAACAGACTGCATCGGGGCAAGTCGGTTGGGTTCATTTACCATCATCTTCGGAGCAAATACCCTGATTTCCAGCCACCTCCGTCCCTATATGGCTCGATTTTGTCTATTCTGGCTCAGGAAGGTGCCCCTTCCGAGGTGCACTTGTACTACTTGCGCCAGTTTGCTCACCTGCACGGGGCAGCCGACAAGATTAGCTATCAGAAAGTCCTCACGGCCCTCGCTGCTCAGGGGGACGTTGACGGTACCCAGGCCGTGTTTATCGAGCTATGCAAAGTCCACTCGCGGCCTACCGATATTGCCTATTTTACCCCGCTTCTATACGCGTATGCCCGGTTGGGCGACATTGAAGGCACTGAACGGGAGTTCCAACGTTTGAAGGACTGGGGACTGCAACCGACCTTGTATTGCTGGAACATACTTCTCTACGCTTACGCAAGGTCGGCCCATTCTGGGAAGGCCTTTGATATATTCGAGACTATGAAGGCTCAGGGCTTACGTCCTGACGTGTATACCTTTGGGACTCTGATGGGAATAGTCTCCAAAGCCGGTGACATTGAAGCTGTTGTGGACATTATTGAACAGGCACAACAATACCATATCAAGGGCAGCTACGAAATGATCTCCGGGCTAGTGCAATCCTACTGTCTCAATGATCAAGCAGACGTTGCCGAAAGGCTCGCAGAAGTCACCACCAAGGCTAGTTTCGAGGGCGAGCCAGTCAAGATGTGGAACTACCTACTCAGACATTATGCGTTTCAGTCCGATTCAGAGGGAGTTGTCCGAGTTCAAGAAAGGATGAATGCTTTGGGCGTGAAACCCGATGACATGACCTATGCAGCTCTGATGGCCGCGCTCGTTGTCATTGGCAAGACCAGCGATGCTGCCCAGATTCTGAAAAGTCTTAACACGAGTCGGACACTCGCCGCCACCGCTTTTCATTACTCCATTGTACTGCAAGGTTATGTCCAGGAAGGAAATCGGAAGATGGCCGAAGAGGTTTACAAGGAAATGTTGGAAACTTTTCCAAGACTCACTCCTAGCGCACGTCTTGCTATGCTCCACCTACAAGGTCTACAAAGCGTCAATGCGGAGAAGTCGTTCTTGGATGCCAATGACTATCTGGGAACACTTCTGCATGAACTGGCCAGCGAGGACCGGGCGACCAAGCACCCTCAGCCAGGGTTCGGCCGGCGCAGTCCCGTACATGCACTGCCTTCCATCTACGTGGAATTCATGGCCAGTATTCTAGCTTCCACGGGCAAGACTGGGCAAGCGGATAAGCTTCTTCAGAAGTTTGACTCTCTGTCGCAGTCATCATACCTCGGCCGTGATCGAGGTTCTGAAGATTCAATCGATCTTCTAACCACACGCCTGATCATTTCAACTCATCGACATGATTGGGAAACAGTGGAAAGAACCTGGAAGCAAATATTGGACCGGGCATTGGATGCAGCAAGTCCTCACTCTATCAAACGAAAGGTGACTCCTCCTAAGAATCAGATTGAGCAACCTTCTCCGACAACTCAGGACACGGCAATTGGATTGGATCTTATCGGCGGCTCCGACTTTGCATTTACCTCTATGATTCCTACCAGCTCTTCTTCCGGCAGCTCCTCTGTCAGTCCTTCACTTGATCGACCTGGCCTCAAGGTGTTGTTCTCTCAGAGATTTATACTCGAAGCTCCCATTACGAGATACTTGCGTGCTCTTGAGCTTCAGAAGCATTACCAGCATGCCACCGACCTCGTTGAGAAATTGCAGAAAGTTGGGTTTGCCCTCACCAGCAGAAACTGGAATTTCTACATTCAGATGCTGACCAGATCGCCTGATCCAAATCACTGGATCCTCGCTTTCAAAACATTTGAAGAGAAATTCCTGCCCAACACACCGCCTTGGCGTCATCTTCGCGCTGGGAAATGGTCAACACCGTCATCTGCAAAGACCTCTACAACGGATGCAGTCGTAATAGCCCGTCGCAGGACTCTGGAAAAGCTTGACCGCGGCCACCTTATGCCAACCTATGTTACTGCAGTGCATCTTGCGGCCAATCTACTCGAATCCAATCGTCGCGCCGCTCACGGCGATGTATCCATTAATGTCGATCTGTGGAGGAGCTCGCCCGGAACTTACCGATATATTCGACGGATTCCTCGGTCCAAGGACCGTATCCAGGGTGGGGTTCTTCGGGGAAGAAATATTCTTGGTGACCTTCAGAAGCCATTGCGTCGAGCTACCCACAAAAGCAATCCTAAGGGACCCGATACTACCATTACGGCGTCTGAGCCAGGAAAAGCAGTCGAGCACAAGATCGCGCACGCTGAAGAAAAGTATGAATGGCTTCCCCGAGATGTGATGAAAGCGAAGGCAAAGTCGAAGAAAAGAGTCGAATTACCTCCAACCAGTGGGGCTTTGTACGACACTCTTGACCGACGTCTTGAAAAGCGGGCTGAAGCGCAACGGAAGGGCCGAGAGGAACGAAGGGCTATGTTGGACGACGCTACCCGGCACCGAACGGGTGCGAAGTTCAGCATCAGGAAACTTGCTGCGGTTCTGCCGAGGGACATGAAACACTCTTCTGAGACGTTGCGTAACGATCTCGATGGGCAAGAGGTGCTTGCGGAATCTGATGAAGCGCAAGTACCACGGACCCCAAGAGAGTCGGCTCCTGTCACCCGACGAGAAGTGAAATGAAGTCTGTATGAAGCGCATTTTGATCCATCTTGGGTCTGGCAATGAATTGAACAGATGAACGATACGTGTGCAGTGAGCACTGGGTATTTGCTCTTCGACAGCCTCTCACCTGACGAGAGCAAAAGTTTCAGAGGACGGGTATAGATGAATTGCTAAGTCGTGCTTGAGGATGACGACGGTTTGTGGATGGTATAGAATGGAGTGAACCTTTCAAACGCTCCTTGACGAGAAAAGGGCCGACTCGATGATGAGACAAATATCATGCATGACCAGGAGAAGCGTCAAGCGACAGACAGCTTGGTACTTGTTATGCTATCAGCATGTTCAGACAGTGCAGTCACTGGTAACGGGAGGTATCTACAGTATGTACCTTATGCCGGATCCGGCAGCGGCACCGCAAACAATATATTTATATCAACTCTCATATTCCATTCGCCCGAGACGATATACGTAGGTATCGAGCACCCTTACGTAGTTTGCATTATTACAACAAAACACATGCTCCCACCCCGGAAAAATACAGGGTTGTGTAGGCAATAATTCAATTCAAATTCAATTCATATCATAGTGTTCATCTCAAGTGAGAAACGTCAATGTCCGTCTTTTCCAAACCACATCGGGATGATGGTGATCACTGGCATCGTGAAAGTATTGGATCTCGTCCATTCGAGAGTGGCGTCCTAATAGTCCATGCCGAGTCTGAGGTTTGGAATTGTGACCGCCTTGTTGTGGATATGAAGCTCTTCTAGAAGGACCACGAAAAGACGAAGATTCGTAGTGGTATGGATATGGACTTTGTTGGGATCTAGGTGCATCGTGATGTGATGGTGACGGTGCGGCGGTGTCTGGGAGATGCCATCTGCCCTCATCTGGGAATGTCTTGGCGGCCATATGTGCGCTGTGTAATGAGGGTGTCAGGTCGAGAATTATTTTTGTGTTGTAGTAGGAAGGCGAGTCCTCATGATACCCATTTCGTGGATCGTGGACACGTGGGTCGATGCGCTTTTCAAAATTTAGGAAGTCCGCGCCTGAAACTTTCGAGCTGGGGTCTGAGATGGCGCTCTCCGTGTCTGAGCATGCGTGCGCGCGCCGTCGGTTCTTGTGCCGTCGGATGAACCACAGTATGCAGAAGAGTAGACAGGGAAGTAGGATATTGAGCAAGTGTATCTCAACAGAGGGGAAGATGCCGGAAGAGGGATTGAAGAGTGGAAATGACATGATGGGAAAATGAAGTATTTGCCGTATGGACAGGCGAGAGAGATCAAAGCAGTGCGACCGGGACCTACCTTATACCAAGCTCGTCGGTAGTATATGTACCTATGGTGGTCTCGCATGCCATCGAGTCTTTCTGTAAAACACTCCGACTTAGAAGTCACAGCTGGATAACTGGGCAGCCGACAGTCTGGATGTCAAGATGGACCCCCGTCATTCCGATCGGCAGGTGGGTCGGACGGGGCTAGTGTCAGCGGAAGAGATCTGAGATAGATCCCTGAAAGCCTTGTTCGTATCGCGACTACGTCAAATCGGTTCCCCTCCCTCGCTAAGCACAGATGCCAAGCGGAGTATTTAGTCAAACCCTGGCTGAACCAGCCGGCTGGCTGGCCAAATTTGAAGGTGACAGATTCGTGTTCACACAGCTGGAGACATCGAAAGTATCCAGTCAGACAGACATGAATAATTGACTAGCGTCGCCTTTTCCCGAGCCATTTTCTCGAGGCAGGTTGGCATACAGTGCCTCAGCTTGAGTGTTGGGAGGGACGTGGTCCAAAAACGCAAAAAGGAAGGGGATTCTCCTGGAAGTTACCGCCTCAGCTGGACAGGTTTACGCCTCGCATGGCTGGAGGGAGTCTTGGACCGGGAGTTCCGAGAGCCGATAACTTGGACTGAAGAGATGGCGGAATCAAATGGGGATTGTTCAGCTGGCGAGTCCGCGCCACAGCCGAATGAAGGGTCGGGCAATAAATAGAGCGCCGTGATTGACTGGCATTAGTCAACGTGTCAGATTTGATGTGTCCCTTAAGGTAGCGATCGATGCTGTGGGCGGCCAAGTCCAACGTTACGCGACGCAAATCTGTACTAATTGAAGGGGTAGGGCGTAGTAAGAGGGAGGCCGTCAACGATGGGATGAATGTGCTGATGAGGGAGCCATCAGACCAAAAAGTCCAATTTTCGAGGTCTTCGAACAGAAAGAATTGAATCGCTCACGTGACACTGTGCACGTGATCTCTGGGTCTCGGGGAGGCTCATGCCAAGAAACACGTGTCACCCCATCATTAGAGATTTTATGACCTTGGGAGGCACTGCGAGTTGCAACTTCAATGCTGCTGAAAGCACCTAATCATTGGCACGAAATGTAAAGTACCGTATTTCATCTCAGCCTGAGACAACACCTTTGTTTGTTATTTCTTCACGACCTGCAGTAAACCGTTCACCTGAGACTGATGAAAATGCAGTAGCTTGGAGCATATAAATTGCTTTCGCCTCCTTTCCTTTCTTTTTTTGACTTGCTCGATCCGTGAGCACCTTGTTCAGCTGCGTCCCTTGGGCCGCTCTCTCAAAGCTATCCGGCTTGCTCTGCCTCGCGTTGGCTTCTATATATTGCTCAGACTCTGCCTGTAGTCTTCTGCTTATGTTCCTTGGCCCCTCTGCCTCCTGATTCTTATTTCACTATGGATCTCCAGTCGGACGACTCCTGGTCTTCCACGTCCGAGGAGGATGAGGAAGAGCGTCACGGACCGATCCGCTCGCGCGCTTACCAGATTGAGATGTTCGAACATAGCATGAAGGGCAATGTCATTGCTGTCGTAAGGTTCACCGGCAATGAAAATGAAACTGGGTGCTGCTAATTCTTGGATAGATGGGCACTGGGACCGGCAAAACACAAGTGTAAGGCTTCAAGTTGTCTCATTTTCGAATCCATGTCAGAAGGCGGCTTCTAAAAGACGTTGATCTTGCCGTCCTCTCGGGATGTCTCACGCTTACCCACTGACACAGGGCCAAACTTCGCATTGAAGCAGAGTTCGAGCGGTCTCCCATCAAGGTATTCTTTCGATGTGATCCTGGTCCCCTGTTTGGAGGCTGACCGTTATTGAAGAGGATATGGTTCACAGCTCCGAGTGTGGTGCTTGCCTATCAACAATACTGTTTCCTTTCATGGCAACTACCCGCGTTCCAATTCAGACTGATTACTGGCATGGACAATGCCGAATTCTGGGATACCCAGGAAGTGTGGGATAAGGCCTTGCACAATATCAATGGAGTTGTCTCCACGCCTGCGATCTTGCTTCAGGCCCTTGACGGTGGGTTCGTGAGCATGAAAACTATATCGTTGCTCGTGGTTGACGAGGCCCATCACTGTGTGGCCAAGTCGCTGGTCAATACTATCATGAAAGTGCACTATCATCCAGTTAAAAAGGCCAATTGCCCTTACGAGCTGCCGCATATTTTGGGTCTTTCAGCAAGTCCGATCACCAAGAAAAGCCCAGCAGAGATAACTGAGCTGGAAGCCAATCTTGATGCACAGTGCAAGACTCCCCTGCAACAACTAGAAGAGTACACTGCGTTTGTTAACATGCCGGAAATTGTAATATTGACATTTGACGAAGAAATGACCCCGGATGCTCGGCTTCTGACTCAACTCTCAAGTCTGGTGTCAGACCTGCGGTTTACGGACGACCCAATCATGAAAAAGTTGCAGGAAAAAGACGACCAAAAGGCTGCAGAGAAACTCCGAAAGATTATACACAAGGGCGCAACGCCAGCCATGACAGAGTTGAACACCTTACTAAGGTCGGCAACCACGATCCAGCAAGATCTAGGACGTTGGGCCTGTGAGACTTACATCACCGCTTGTGTGCGAAAGCTTCATTGTGCGGTTCGTAACGCGGCAGGCCTTGAGATACATCCAGGACTGACTCATGACAATCGGCCGTTCATGGAATCCACCCTCCGTCCTCTGCATGCTTCTCTGGGCGCTCCGGGCGGCGGTTCTTTATCCTCTCCAGAAGATCTCTCAGCCAAAGTGGCAATCTTGCTCAACTTTCTTCGAAAGGAGTATCGATCTGACGTACGGGGGCTAATCTTTGTCCATGCGAGGCACACAGCCTGGGCCCTGACTGAAGTCATCAACAGCCACCCTGCAATGAGCAACTACCGGGCATTTTCATTCGTGGGAGTGTCCAATCCTGCTTATCAAGGTGCCTTCGATTTCGCACAATTGCACATCCAATTCGAAAACCTCGAAAGGTTCCGCCGTGGTCAGCTCAATCTATGTATAGCAACCTCCGTGCTTGAGGAAGGAATTGATGTGCCCTCCATGAATCTGGTGATATCCTTTGATGCGCGCCCTAATCTTCGCAGTTTTGTCCAAAGTAGGGGGCGGGCGCGACAACGGAACTCGAAATACGTTGAACTACGGTCGTCTCTTGAACCTTACTCCAAAATCAAGTCATTTGAAGCATGGGAAGCCGACATGAAGAGGAAGTGCGAGAGTTCTTTGCGTGATCTGGAGGCACGGAAAGTCGTTGAGTCCTTGAAAGAGGAAGGGGGATCCATCTTTCGGGTACCATCGACGGGGTAAGCGGCGGTCCAGCTACGCCGAATCCCAGTATGGGAGAGGTCAGGATGCATTTACTGACGGAGGCAGGGCAACTTTGACCTTCGACAATGCTCGGCAATCGCTGCAACGGTTTTGCTCCAAACTGCCCAGGAATGCCGACAGCGAACCGCCAGAACCGATATTCTGCCTAGAGGGCGAGATCGGTCTGAGGATTTTTGCAAAGGTATACTTGCCAACTTGTCTGCCGCCACATTTGCACGTGGTCAGCTCGCAGTTGGGGTGGCAGACCGAAAGGATGGCCAAGAAAGATGCCGCATTCCACGCATATCTTGGCCTTTACAAAGCCGGACTGGTAAACGAAAACCTGCAACCGATCCACTGGCCGAAAGATGGCAATGGAGAAGCAGAGCCGGACATTGAGACGAGGGAGAGCACCTATGTTGTTCGACAGCAGTACAATCCTTGGCCTGCGGTGATGGAACAGTGGGCTAAAACCAACACAATTTATGCACATCAGCTCCATGTCAAGAACAAGAATGGCGCAAAGCCAGCCCTCAGCTTGCTCCTGCCCTTGAAACTGTCAGGCACTGAGTTCTGTCTATACGACACAGATTTGGGAGATTTGCAGGTTTGTCTAAGTCCAGGCGAAGAACTGACTAACTATCCTGCACTCGACCTGGCACGAAAAACTAGCCTACATTTGCTGTCTACCGTCCTAGGAAGAAGACTGCGAGGCTTTCAACGTAACCGATTTCCTTTCCTCCTGGTACCAGTGTGTGAACCACTCTTACTTGAGCAGTCGCATGAACTTATCACAACCAACAGAGGGCTACTGGATGTCTGCGCCACAGAAGGTCTGCTGGACCAGGAATATCTCGTGATCCCCAGTAACGAACAGATCCCCTATGTGTACCAACCATCAAAAGACCAACTTGGCTCTCGTGTCACATCCATTGATGGTAGGATCCCCGACATTCTTGCAACGAAGCTGTCTAGGCGACTGGAATTCTTGGGGCCCGTGGCGAATCCTACTTCAGCCCTTCCACCACAACAACGGTCGCTTCCGGTCGACCAATGTGTGTTGCTAGGAGTACCGGTTGACTATGCCCGTCTCATGTTGTTGGTTCCTTCGATCACACATATGCTCGAGGTTTGTCTCCGAACAGCGGCGGCTTGCCAAGGACCCCTAGCTGGACTTCCTCTTGTTGATATGGACTTGGTGTCGGAAGCGCTTACATTGCCGAGAGTTGGGCCCAGAAACTACGAGCGCTTAGAATTCCTTGGAGACGACTTGCTGAAGTTCTACACTTCTATTCAGGGATTTGTGGACAATCCCACTTACCCCGAAAGCGGCCTTACAATTGCTCGTAACCGCATCGTCAACAATGCTCGCCTGCAACGAGCCACACGAACACTGGCTCTCGAGCAGTTCCTAACCCAGCATCGGTTCTCGGGCGCAGAATGGACGGCTGGAGTTAGCAAAGAGGATCGAGAGGGTCATGGTGACAGCACAGATACCGTGGCGCATGGTGAGAAGACGCATCTTTCTTCAAAGACCCTGGCGGATGTGATTGAGGCTCTCATCGGCGCTGCTAGTTTGAATGGGTCGACAACCACCACAAATGGAGATAATATCGAGAGTCGGTCTCAAGAAGGTGTCATCGCGGCCTTGCGACTGTTCCTTGAAGAAGTTCCCTGGAGACCGGTATCTGAGAACTTGGTCAGGATCCATGTCATGGACGATTCCGAAATTACTGGGTATCAGTTGTACGCTCCAGTTGAGTCTTTGATCGGCTACAGATTCACCCGACACGCTCTGCTAGCCGAAGCACTTACTCAGTCCTGGCTCGGTGGTCAAGTTTCTTCGTACGACCGTCTCGAGTTCCTAGGCGATGCCGTGCTCGACCACATCGTCAAGCAGGCACTGTTTCATAGCAGCACTGATGTCGAATCGACGACAGGCCTGCTGTCCCGAGAGGAGCAGCAGCATCAATTTAACCCGGAAGAAATGACTCTCCGCCGCCACGCGCTTGTCAGCCATGCAACCCTCGCCTTCTTCGTATTTCAGGCATCATACACTTCCAACGCTTTCGAAATAGCCACAGACCCTTTCACGCGCAAAACCACCATCTCCACTAACCCTACATCAACATCTACAACCTCCACCACGAAGACAGTCTACCTGTTTGACCATGTTCGACGGAGCGGCAATCGTGACGACCCGCTCCAACGCGAGGGCACACTAGCTGCATACCATGATGTGCGGGATGCAGTACTGCAGGCATTCAAGCATGGCGCCAAATTTCCTTGGGCGGAGTTACTCCACATCGGAGCCCCCAAAATGTACTCGGACATTATCGAGTCCCTGCTTGGTGCAATATTCATCGATTCGAACGGGGACCTGGGTGCGTGTGTCGGCTTCTTGGAGCGACTGGGGTTCATGGATCTTGTTCGTCGATTTGCCAATACCAAGCAGAAGGCCGGCTTAGACCTCATTCATCCGGAACACTTGTTGAGTCAGGTCCAGCCTGGGTGTAAGCTGGTGACATATCAGTCGAAGAAGCGTGCCGCAACCGTAGTTGAAGATGGGGCCGTGTTCCGGCGTGGCTGGAAATGTAAAGTCTTGCTGGATGGCGAACGAATTGCCCATGCGAAAAGGGGGAGCTGCAAGGCAGAAGCGCAGTGTCGTGCGGCTCAACGTGCGGCCGAGTTCTTGCTAAAGAAGCGGGACCACAAGAGGAAGGCAGCGGAAATGTCGACTGAGGGCAGAGATGGAGATTGCGTTGTGGCACCCGTGGCGGCTTGACGCACCATTGAATGTGTTTCGCGGGGCAATATGTGTGAAGGGAGAGGTGTACGAGCCACCTACGAAAGAGCAGATCAAACGAAGATGGTTGCGCACACCAGACGAGACTCTACGGACCGAGAACCCATGGTCGCAACGAGACCAGACGGAGTGATATGAGTTTGGATTGATAACCGTGGGCGCGGATCCACAGAACAACGCCGACGGGTGGATTTGAATCTGTGGAGAAGGGGGGAGACGAAAATTGAAACGACGACGATCTGGACCCATGGACGAAGATCCTTCATTTCCTCCTTGACGTGACGATACTAATGGAATGACTCGGCCGGTGGGCGACTGCACAGCCCAACTTCTAGTTTGTGACCCAGAGGTTGACGAAATCAGAAACGAACAGACACGAAATACACAAGTAGCTCCTCCTACGAGGATGCCACGCTTACGAGATTACGAGACACGAGACCACGGAACTACTATCGATGCCGACTGGATGCCATGGCACAAGCAATGCCCGTCCTTTTCAAATCAAGATCAACAGTACGCCAAAGGCTAGCGGTGGTTTGTATCCACCGGCATATGAATGATGATAATGAACAACGAATACATTTGGCCATACAGAAACGAGAATGCCCAGTGGAAATCCACCGACGGGGAAGAAACAAACATGATATTGACGACTCAGATTTTGATCTTGCTTTTGCTTTTGGTTCTTATGAGGTATGAGCATGAAATGGGAGAGATGTCTTCCTGGATAAGTACATGCAATGATGGAACGATGACGACCTTTCTTCACAGTGATGCGCATTATCCCACTCTCTTACTGGCCTTGACTGCTTCCTTCTTGGTTCCTTGCGGAGCTCTTCAGAGGACCTGGAGATCAAGATCAGAGGATGCTGCTTTTATTGAACGTACTCCGTACTCCTCATACTCTCGCACTGTAGCAGTGCAAGGCTCAGCCCCGAGATAGATTGAGATAAAAAGCACTTAGTACTTTTCATGGTATCATCATTGGTGAGCATGAGCCCGTTGGTATGGACGCCTAGATCAGTGACGATGGCAATGGCCCTTGCCTTTGCCTTCCTTACTACCCGGCGTACCTGTACTCGCTGAATGAGAACAACAAAACAAATACAACAGCATTTTCTGGAAGCTGCTCGCTACGCCCGTCCCCGTCCTCGTACCATGCGATGTGAAGGGATTGTTGGTCTTGTCGGTTTGGGCATTTTGACCTTGACTTTGTCGAGTTGATGAAGCATCAAAACTTGTCCTGTGTCATGCAGTGCGTGCATCCTGGAGGATGATTTCCATGCCATACCAGCCCTGCTTTCACGCCTACCCTACCGGTCCATTGGCGTGATATGCAGCGTAGGACAGGGTGAAGACATCTCCGAGCCCTCAGCTCTCTCGGACCATTTCATTCATTTCATCTCAATGCCTTCCATCTCTCAGTCCATTTCAAAAATCCATTCCGACCAAATACCCCTCAAACACCCTCATAAACTTTGCCACAAAAGCCTCGAGATGAAAAATAACCTTACTCCCCAACCTGACACGATGTTCATAGAAACTGGCCCACCTCACGACCTCTGGTTTCAGCGAATCATCCACCTCCGGCAGATTGCACAATTTAAAACAGAGCGTCTTGAGCACCATACTCGCCGGAATACAATGCGTAAGCAAATCATACAATTTCGCCCTCGTCGCCAGAATCATCGCCGGGGTCCGTTCACGCACAATATCCCTTGCAATCTGCTCAACGAGTATCTCCCAATCCGGCGGGCTAATCGGTGTCTTTTCATTCGGTTCCGGGTTCTGGGCATAGACAGCCTCAAACATGAGCAACGCCTTCCGTAAATTCCGATTTGACTCTTTCGCAATCCTCTCATTGAGAGCCGGAATGACTTTCCAATTTTCCTTTTTCGCCGCTTTGGCGAGGACATCACAGATCTCAGTCTCTGTGGGAGCCGCCACACGCACTAGCAGTGTTCGACTGCGGATGGGTGCAATGATTCCCGCTGTGCTGTTGGCGACCAAAATCAGGCGTACGTTGGCGCTGTATTTCTCCATTGTTCGTCGTAGGGCCGCCTGTGCGTCTCGACTGAGGCCGTCGGCTTCGTTGATCACTACGACTTTGAACCGTTGTTTTGCGGATAAATCGACTTGTTGTGTTTGTGCTACTTCCTTGAGCAGTTCTTGGATCACCACCCGGTCATAGCTGCCGACGTCGCTGGGCGTGATTTCCAAGTGGTAGACGGAGGACACGATGTTGAATTCGAGTTTGCGGTTAGATGAGGTCGTGAATACTCGTGCGTCGATCTTGATCTTTTCCACGCCGCTGCCGTAGAGGGCGCGCAGGGTCGCGAGGATGCGTGTCTTTTTGCCGGCGCCGCTGGGGCCGTAGAATAGGAGATGGGGGAAATCGGCGGATGCGGCCTAATAGAGAACAAATGAAATCTTAGTTCCCTAGTCTTGACAGAGATGAATGCATTGAAGAGGGCAGTAAATGACGAGCCAACGTTCGTCTTTCAATGTAGCGGGATGCTTTAGGGATGCTTTACCAGAGATGCCAGCCGGTCTGAAAGGTCTTTGTGATATGTGAGCGCGTCGAGGGAGCGGGGACGGAGTTTATCCACCAGGAGCGCCATGATGAGCTGGTGTTGCAGGCTGACGCTCTGGAGTTTGTTGAAAAAGTAAAGTACAGTAGACAATTGTATTGTTTATTGCAGTTGAGTCGGGAAAAAGATGCGCTCCCGACGCGTCGAGTGCCCAAAGAACGTGACACCGCGTAAAGTGGCCGGGATGACGTACTAGAACGAAATACTCCGCCATATATTCGGCGCAAGGCTGAAGTGAATGTCCATTGATCCACAAGGCTGGCATCACCTGTATTGTCATCGTGGAGTGCAGCGTTGTACAGTACTACTCTATCCAGCGAACCATGACCCCACCTTATCCCCCTTGCATAGGTCGCCTGAGCGCATAATCGAAGAGCCACTTGGACTTCCAAACACCTACACAGAGGCCTCTGCCGTGCATTTGTTTTCTCCTTGCCGCATCGTGAGGTATTTCCGACATCTGCTCTCTACGGTATCAACTCCTCATAGGACGTGCTGTTCTTCTCCTTTGGCTAGCAGTGGCCTCCAAGTACCTAATCACAGTCTCATCTATGATTCGCATCCCTGGTGCTCCGGGATCGCCAACGACTGCCAGTGCAGCCGATTTCGCTTGCTCGAAATCCTTGATCTCCTGCAATATCACCGGCGATTCTCGCATCTGCCTCAGCAAGGGCAGCATATATGTGTGCCTGATATCCTTCATTGCATTGCACCAGCGACGGTAGCCATGTGGAAGCGTCATAATACCATCATACAGGTCGTTGATTCGCGCCTGGATGTCCAAATCAATACCACTAAGATCTGGCAGCCGAATGAAAGGATGGTAGACGTAGGCATCAAACAGGTGCGCGAGATGGACGGATAGTTTCAGCTCCGATGCCGACGGAAGTGCTGTATAACTATAAGACAAATCAGCCATTGACACTGACTGCATTGAATGCTAACACTCACTCCACGATCACTTGGGCTCTCTGCCGGAAGATAGTCCACACGTCTTGTTGCGCGGGCTTGATTGTGAAGAGTGCCAGTGATTTGATATATGAATCGTTCCGTACTTGCTCTGCGAGCATGCTGTTTGCGTCTCGAAGTTGAACCAGCATATCTTGACTATGAGCCAAAATGGCCTCTCTGTTCGTTTTGGCATAGGCCGAAGAGAGCCGACCGTTCGGAAGCACCAGCAGCGTAGTAAGCTCCGCAATGTGATAGGCAAGAGTCCTGAAACCATGTTTACAGACTTCTGGTAGATCCGCGCCTTCGACTTCCACCAAGAAATCGGAATGGTCGGGCATGTACGCTGTTTGGACCCTCTGAGGCTGTGGTCGCAAAGGTGTAGTGTTGGCCGTTGAGGCGGACTCTACCGAGTGGTGTGCTTCATCGTGGTCGGTGAGGTTCGAACAAGGTGATGAGAAGTGTTCCCTGTCACATTCGGGATCGAGCAAATCCGTGGTGGTATCGAAAGTGATGTCGGGATAACGCTCGAAGAGGGTGGTGAGGTTATTCTCTGGACGTTCGTGGGGTCCAGGCATCATGATCATATCATCCCTGAGATTCAGGCATCATAATCTTTGGTCGAAATCAGGCATCCCAAGGTAATCATCAGTGTAGTGGCATCAGACATCATGGTTGTGCTTGGCGATATAGAGCACAATTGCAGTGCTAGCATCATTGACGAAGACTCCAGCCTGGATTGCATGCACACGGAAAGAGCGACGCAGTTTGGAACTTGGCTGCACAGTGAGCGATACCCGATACCTGATAACCCTTCCTTGAACGCTGGCAGTGTATTTTGTCAGGCTGGGTGTTCAAAGAAAGGTGTCGGTGTCGCTCACTGTGCTGCAACCTGGCTTATGGGAGAAACACACAGCGGCCTTGCGAAATCAACCAAGGCACAGCAACATACGAGAGGGCAGACAGTACTGACATAGAACAAGACATCACATTCATTCCATATCAGATCCAACTATTATACTCTGTCATTCATTTACCAAACACGTTCCACCCCAAGTCATGAGAGAAGGACCCGGTATTTTAGAAGAGGTTTGGCCGTGCAAACTGCCCATGAAGACCCACGACATGACGCCAATGTGTCTCATGGGGGCAGTAAGCTGTTGCTCTTCGCCCATTGACTGATTGGCACCCCACTGAAGGAGAGGTGACAACTCAAAGTTGGGCGAGATATTGACTTCAGAGGTCGGAGAATGACCATCCCTGAGACTGCGCACTCTCGATTGCAGAACTGAACCCTGTAGAGTCCCAACTGCCTGGAAGGTGGCCCTGTGCGGAACGAGATATCGGGCTGGTTGCAACTCCATCAACTCCTGCAGCATCCTGCAAGTTCGGTACATCCGAACGCCGCTGAGCCAGTCCAGAATCATCGTTTCGATCCAGGCTGCCAGGGGACTTCGAATGAGGCCCTAAAGTTTGGCCGTCATGCCCGTCAACATCAGGTTTTGGCTGAGAAGCTTGGGAATCGATAGCTTTCGGATAGCTTTCGTCGAACTTAAAACCAGGAGGGGGCTTGAGATCGTCGTCATCCCCCGGTAGCTGAGTATCAACGATGTTGTTCCCAATGCGCTGGAGAGTTTTGGTGATGATGGTTTGAACCCACTGATAGAACAGATATGAGGCGGACAAAACACCCATAACAATCACGATCCAGCTCACATTGACAGCGCGATCGCGGCCGGTGGTGGACCTTCCCGAGATTCTACTGCTGACAAACCCGGTAGTCCTGAGGTTCCACCATTGGAAGGGATTCAGAAGGGCGGTTCTGAGAAAGCTTAAAACACCCATTGAAACCATGCCCTTTACAAAGTGTTGGGCCCACCCAGACGAGATATCTTTCGACCGGTTAACTTCGATATCCGACCATAGGTCTTCATGGCCAAGGATGGTTTCATAAGGGTCGGTATAGAAGTTCAAGATAGGGTCCGCAATGAAGCCCAGCATGAACATGACAAGCAACATGACCAAGACCGTCAAAAAGCCCGTGAATGCCTTGCTTCCCAAATATCTTTGCAATGTGAGCCGGTTGAAGTTGAACTGGTAGCCACACTCGTGGCATTTCCACAATGACCCCGGCCGGACGCCTTCAGTTCTCGATCTTCGTAAACACAGTTCATGAATGTATCTCATGCCGCCTCTGCAATGACAAGGCTTGACGAGTCGGCCATACTCATCGTCATTTTTATATTCAATGAAAGGACGCTGGAACGCTGGAGGGAGGCCGGGCGGGTAAAGAGTCACAGTCGCAGGGACTTCCTCCAGACACAGGCGGCAGGTCCTTGTAGGGTAAGTCCAAGTCGGTGGTGGCTCAGAAGTGGACTGATTCGCGGAGGTGGGATTAGAGGTATCGTCTATGGATGTCATGTTTGAGAGGTATAAGGTCTGCTAAGGATGGTCAATTTGGATCAGCAGTTAACTCAAGTCCGGCGACTCGAAGTGCGGACATGGTGGGAAATCGAGCTTCCGGAGGTAGGGATAAAACAAGGGAGTTAGACAAAGGGAGACACGGATAAGGGCACAACTTGAAGGTCAACGATAGGCATTTCGCGTCTCCCTGCGCAGTCTCCTGAAAGACCGGGGATTAGGGCATAAGGGAGAGGAAGATGTCGGAGGAGAGCAGAAACAATCTGTCCTTGGGAGCGGCTTGGAAGAAATGCTCAAGGTCGGGTTTCGACTTCGGGTTCTTGGGCGGAATGCCAAGATTTGGGTTTAGTCGAAGCACTGCAGCCTGAGGCTCTCGGCGCACGCTCCTAGGAAGACGATAATGCCGCCCTATGTTTACCTGATGCCGCTTTACCTGATACGGGACGACGGTTGCCAGTTACGCGTGGATCTTGCAGCCTCGCGAGAGAGCCAGAGTCGCTGCGCTTCAACTTCAGCTGAGGTTACCGGTTGCAAAAGTCCAACCCATCCCCTCGTTGCTCACCACCGTTCAGCTCGACATTGACTAACTGCGGCCTTCTAATCTCCTACCTGCTCGGACACCGCTTTCATCCTTGCGTTCTCACCTTCAGCTCTCTCGCCAAAATGGCGGACCGATACTCCTTCTCACTTACGACGTTCTCGCCTAGGTACGTTCACCACTGTATATTCCAGATCACGCCTGCGATTGCTAACACGATACAGCGGCAAGCTTGTTCAGATAGGTAATAGACTACGTCTCCAAGTAATCTGTGACGAGCTTACCAGTATCTCCAGAATATGCCCTCAATGCAGTCAACCAAGGTGTTACCTCATTAGGCATTAAAGGTAAATGCTCTGTTTGGGCCTCTTCAATCATCCAGTGCTCACCGAACTCCCAGCGACCAATGGCATTGTCCTTGCGACCGAAAAGAAATCCTCCTCTCCCCTGATAGACGCACCCTCGTTGTCGAAAGTCTCACATATCACACCCAACATTGGAATGGTCTACAGCGGCATGGGCCCCGATTACCGAGTGCTTGTGGACAAAGCTCGCAAGGTGTCACATACCAACTACAAGCGCATCTACAATGAGTACCCGCCGACTCGGATATTGGTGCAAGATGTGGCGCGGGTAATGCAAGAGGCGACGCAGTCCGGGGGTGTGCGACCATACGGAGTGAGCTTGTTGATCGCCGGATGGGACGACGGCATTGAACCCGAGACGACAGAGGCCAAAGAAGGCGAGACCGAGGCGGAAGCAAAATTGGCCAGCAGGAAGACCGGCGGTATCCTCAAGGGCGGACCGAGCTTATATCAGGTCGACCCTAGCGGGAGTTACTTTCCGTGGAAGGCTACGGCGATTGGCAAGAGTGCGACGAGTGCAAAGACCTTTTTGGAGAAGAGATACAATGATTCCCTTGAGCTGGAGGTAAGAGCATAAACAAAGGTCAGGCTGTGTTTGACAAAGCTAACTTTTGGGTTATAGGATGCTATCCACATTGCGCTATTGACGCTGAAGGAGACAATCGAGGGTGAAATGAATGGTGATACCGTGGAAATCGGCATTGTCGGCGAACCCGCGAACCATTTACTGGGCTATGAGGGGGTTGAGGGAGCCGTAGGCCCTCGGTTCCGGAAACTCACTAAGGAGGAAATAGAGGACTACTTGACCAGTCTGTGAGCGGAGCCACGAGTTGAAAGAGGAACATGGGAGTCAAAAGTGTTCTTTCAGCGGTGTCGTGGACTTTGCTGGTCATTTGCTTCGCTGGGAAATGTGGCAGGGCTGCTCTGTCGCGTCGAAAAGGAAGCCTTATTTCCCATTCCTGTCTTCTGCGAGTCACCCCTCAGCGAACCGAGCGCAACAGGCACCGAACTCGAACATCCTATTGAGTGAATAGAGCAAGCGGGTGTTCTTGCGGTATCCGACTTGTACCCAGAATATCAAGATGAGGCGCTATGGACAGGTGAAATATGGTGCCCGTTCTGTGCCAGAACTTGAGGACATCCTTCAAATAGGGCGATGGATTGCCTTCACCTCGCCCTGAAATCCATTTACTACCTCGTTGCCTTGCAGCAGCATGCCCTTAGTGCTTCCAATGGAACCTCGTCATACGGCCCAATCACGAACTTGCTTACAGAACTGGACAGAATCAGTATGAAAGTAATCAATTCTCAAGTTGTGCCAGTAGTAGATGTAGATGCGGTTATTAGTTGGCGAGGACACGAAGGAAGGGGTCGGCGCCGACGCCAGGCCTTGAACAGTGCCGCCGCTTTTTGAGTGCCTTGAAGGACCACTGCAGTGGCAGTCGAATGAGGTACCTAATGGAATCATTCAAGACTCCATCTGCCAGTGGGCTACTAGTACTGCGACCCACATCTACAGTACATGTGCTTTTAGAAGGTACTGTACAGTAGTGAACGTTGAACTATCTGCAGGACAAGTTGACAAATACTTCGACTGCGACTGCGGACCGAGGCTTTGATTTTCTTGAATATAGAGCAGGTACTCAGGCTATATGCTTCTTCTTACCTTGAGTCTACTATAATGAATGGTTCAAGGCCAGAAGACCAGAGCAAGACAAGGTAAGGTAACTGTATGTCAAATGGCCCATTTAGATATCTATCTACTCAAGGTATCATAGGTATGCCCCGCGGTTTCATTCCAGCTTAACAGTAGCTGGGCAGGGCCAATACCTCCGGAAACACTTCCAGAAACACCTCCAGGTTGGCGGCCCATAGAAGGAAGGTACCTACCTGTCCCGTTATATCGTGTATTGTGTTCGACTTTGATTCAATCCCACAATTCCAGTCCTATCTACATGCCACGACATACGATATCCCTTGTTTGAAAGGTCAGGTCGTTTTTTGCGGTCTTTCTTTCTTCCTGCCAGCCCAGCCCAGCCCAGCCCAGCCCAGCCCAGCCCAGGTGGATAAGCTGATATTTTATCCAGATTTGAGATATTCTTCATGGATAGTCGAGCTCTTACGACGGACCGCGGCCAACTCAAGATCGGCAAGCGTGCTCCGTCTCGCACCTTCGGCGTCAACGACCTGCTCGATGTCCGTAAAGTGGACAGTCGGGACAAAACCAGGCGACTTGCGAGCCGAAGAGACCTTGGCATATAGTTCGTCGACTTGCTCCAGAGATAAACCCTTGGTCTCGTAGATGCAGAAGTAGACAAAGGCCATGCAGATGCAGCAGAAGCCTCCCCAGATGAAAAAGACTTTGGATCCGAGGTTTCTACAGGACAAAAGAGTCAGTAATTTCTTTTTTTGTCTTTTGCAAAAGAAAACTAGCACCGCCAACAGAGGCAACAGAGAAGAAACAGAGTCTTCGACTTACGCGTTTCCGGGGCCCGGGTTGACCATATATGGAGTAGCGTAGGCAATGGCCCAGTTCAAAAGCCAGTTCGAGGCCGTTGTCATGGAAAGACCTTTGGCGCGAGCCTTGAGAGGGAAGATTTCACCTGAAAAAAGAAAGTGTTAACACTCCAAGAACAGAACAAGTTTCATGCTGTCAGCCATGCTTACCAGTAACAACCCAAGCACAAGGACCCCAACTACAAGCAAAGAAGAAGATGTAAATGCACACAAAGGCAATCAAAGCATTGCTTGCCGCGGACTCGTCTGGTCTGGCGGTACCGACGCTTGCCACGATGAGCTGACACACCGACATGCCAATAGCACCGAACAGCAACAGTGGTCGTCTTCCCCAGCGCTCGACTAGCCACAGACCAGGAACAGTACTGCAGATGTTGACGACACAAGTAACAACAGAAACAATAAAAGGGTTGTTGATGCCCGCAGAAGTAAAATAGGTTGTGCCGTAATAGAAAATAAAGTTGACACCGGTCAGCTGCTGCAGAGCCTGCAGAGCCATACCAGTAAACAACCGCTTTCTGATCGGAGGCTTGAAGCAGGCGAGATAGGAAGCCGTGCCGATAGTCATCTCGTAGTCGTGATTGGCTTGGATCTCCGCGAGTTCTCCCACCAGAGCAGGATGGTCGACCGGGAGTCGGCGAAGGCGCGAAAGTGACTTTGCCGCTTGCTCGGGTTTACCTTTCTTGATCAAGAAGCGAGGGGTTTCGGGTAGGATTAGCATTCCGACAACCAGGATGATCGCCCATGCAAACTGCACGGCCACGGGGATGCGATAGGATCCAGTGTCGTTGCGATTCTTGGTCGCGTTCAACACAATGGCAGCGAGGAACAGTCCCATTGTGATTGCCCATTGGTAGCAGCCGACGATGGCTCCTCTTATCCATTTTGGGGCTGTCTCGGATTGGTATAATGGTATAGTGGCGCTGAGAAGACCGACGCCCAGGCCGGCGAAGAATCGTCCAGCCACAAACATGGGAATCGCTGTGGCTGCGGTCTGCAGGATGACGCCGAAGGTGAAGACGGCCGAGTTGAAGATCATGGCCCATCGTCGGCCCAGCATATCTGCCAGAGGTGCACTGAAGAGAGCGCCGAAGAAAGTCCCCGCGGACAGGATCGAAACAATTTCAGACGTTTGGCTGGCCGACACATCGGGGAAGTCGTCTTTAGGGTTGATGTATCCTGTTGAGAAAAGTTTTCGCCAGTATTTCATGGCCAGGATGCCGCCAATCGTGCCACTGGCAAAGACTCGTCAGTGGTGGTTTGCAGACTTGTGGCATATCGAATACATACGTGTCATAGCCAAACAAGATACCTCCGAAAGCAACGAAGCAACCTTGGACAATGTGAGTAGAAATTCAACACGAGGTTGGAATTGTTTGTGAGCCCACCGATAATAATAGCAGGTACCGCCGAGCCCGGCACATCTGCAGGCTTGTTGAAAAGGAACCCCATGTTGTAGGCAAAGAGGAGTGTATTCTCGATGGTCGTCTCTTTGGGGTGAGGGCTGGTCTGGGGTAGAGAATATCAGTGCTTGACACTCGATCTTGGCCTGGGGATATATAGATATTTCCAGCGCCAGACAGGGGGTATCTGGCGGAGATGCTCTCTGGGGGTATGGTGGAGGACAAATCTTGATTCTCGCCGAGTGTCGACCAGAATTACCCCATTCGGCTATAGGGACAGCGGCCAAAGACCCACTAACCCACTTAGCATACAGCCGTCGTTCCCTCAGCAGATAGTCACAGTGGAAATGAAAGTTTGCTTGCACGCCCAATTCGATTCTTAGGCTGGGGCGTTCGAGTCGGGGATTGAAAGCCTGGTGTCAACTTATTTCTGCGGGCTGTTGTTTTGAAGACGGTAACAGTTACCGACTGTATCCACCGACAACCAGTCAGAACATGCAACTCAACCCGACGTTTGTTGACTGGCATGTTTCCATTCGACGCGGTAGCATTGGGAATTGATATGCAGTGGGGGTCCAAAGTCTCGTGTGACCATCTTGCATTTCAAGTGGCAGCCGGCGGTCAAGGTATGATGTACGGTCATGTACCTTGGGAACGCAGCGTTAGGTCAAAAGCAGGGATTTGCCAAAGAGTTCAACTATGCCTTCAACCATACTGTAGCCCAGAGATAGCGTGCTTGAGGGGTAGTCAGCGACAGGGTCGAAGCATCGTGGATGAAATCTCAGTGTCCGTCGGTAGCAGTCTCATTGCGCAAGGTAACCCCAGAATACAAGTACCTGGTACAGTAGTAGTCGCTGGGGTAAGGCTTCGAGCGAAACCCCTCCGGTCTCAGATCGAGAAGGTCCTCCATTGGAAGCCACGGAGATGCAGCCTTTTTCGAGCAGGCCAATGCTTCAAAGGGTGGCCGGAGATCCAGGCTAAAGTATAAGGTATGGATGGCACTTACAGCAGATTGGGCACGAATAACGTTCAAAGTGCCAGTGCTTGCTCCGGTGCTCCTATTGGCTACTCGTGAAAACGCAATGCAACCTCAGAAGGATGATCTTCACATTCCTTGTTCGCGCGATGATTGTTCACCTGCGAGGTAGTAGGTGGTAGCATACGAGGGATTCGAAAGAGCCACATGCGACGACGATCCGGTTTGAACTTGCCCTGTCTTGTTGGTGTCACTCATGCGACATGTTACCTTTGCCCTACATGTTAGACCAGAAGCAGGCACGGCGCCGGCTAACGAGGCCTGTGCGAACTGCTGACCACACATGCCTGCAAGTAAGAGTTTCCGTCAAACAAAGTCCGCTCGTCGATGGAACGGGGCATGAAAAGCGACCGCAGGGCCACAACAGCGAAGAGGTGTACAACGTTGTAGAGTTGCACTGGCTCAGGCCTGTTCGAGAATCAGCGAGCGATTGACCGGACGGAAAATTATTTCGCCGCATTCCGCCGAGGCTGAACATCCCTGAAATCAGGCCCCCGGTCAGCGGTATAACTGACAACTTGAACTTTGCATTGCACTGACAGTGTTCTAGAAGCTTTCGAACAAATGTCGTCTTTCGCGCTTGTCAGGATTATGCGTTAAGGTTCTGATCTGCTCAATCATCAACGCAATGCAACGTCAGCTCCCCAGATCTGCATTCCCACATGCTGCAATCCGTCGTCATCACCATGGGTGCGAAATCACCGCTTTCTGAACGGCCGTGGCTTGGATTTGCGCCGACCGAAGATCGTCTGTTGATGTTGGGTTCCAGTGTGTTGCAAAGGCCTAGGAATCCTCTACTGCTGCTGAATACCGGCTGTTGCATTAAGCTCCCTTTCCACCGCCGTACCTAGGAAACCGCTATTTTCAAAGGCGGTCAAATTAAATTTGTCGCGGAAGAGGGTTCTCTGAATGAGAGATGGATATCTCAATATAATACAGCTAGTATTTTGCTGCTGGGGAGGACGCCGTATACTCGAAATAATAAAAAAGTCTTTTGTTGCGGCAGCTGGTGGTGGCCCCATGGCCCCCTTTCGAAGCACCCAGGGGGGCCGCCATATACTCGAAGTAAACAAAAGGTCTCTGTTCCGCCAGCTGGTGGTGGCCCCATGGCCCCCTTCAAACTACCTACGTATTTAAGACGTAGTTACCTATCCAAACTTCTCGATATTCGGACCCCTCGATTTATACCTAATATTTCTGCTTCTAAGACCACCTAAAAGGCAGCCTAAGACGTTGGCGGAATTTCTTCTTGCATTGAAGAAAGCGGTTCAATGCAGGTGTGAGAGATAAGCACTGCCTAGTACCCCGGCAGAGCATGGAGACCGGAAACCTGAGAACGATTGCTGAATTCTCTGTTCGATGGAAAACTGAAACGCGGCACTTAATTTTTCCTGGCTGATTCCGAAACCACAAGATAACTCCGCGGAGAGCACGACAGCGAGCAACCCGTTCAGGGAGGGACTTTCGCTATGATAAATTCTCAGCCCAGTCCAGATGTTGAATAAGGCAGAATCGTGCACACCCAGCAGGCAAAATTTGTTTTCCAAGGCGGACTTGTGGCGGATGGACACCCATGTACTGGCAAATTGTGGCAATGTGAATCAAGGAAGGCTCTGTTGTGAGGCGGGCGAGGGCAGTTTTGTGCAGGGAACATTGTGATCTTGGAAAGTAAGAGGAGATGGCACTGGAAATTTTACCTTGGAGGAAGAGGATCGGAAAAAGAACATCACGCTCCAGGTTACTGATCTAAATCCTCGAGGACGACTGATTGTTGAGCTTGGTTGGACAACCAGCTTGATTTGGAAACCCACTTTCCAGCGTGGCATGCAAGTGATGTTTAGCAAAGGTTTTAACAGGCTGCTGTCCAGGCCCGAGTTCAACGTTCGAAGCCTTACCTTACCTCCATCCTCTTACATCAAAGACCACAGGCGCACAAAGGCCTGAAACGCCGTTCACCACGAGTATCTCCACCAAATTGTACGAGAAGTGGCTCTCCATGGCCGGAAAGCCTGGTGATTTCAAAGTAGAGACCGCCGCTAGAAGCGAGGCGACTCGAACATGATCCAGCTTAAGATGAAGAGGAAGTCGGCACGAACGCGGACTTTGCATCGCTGCTATGATCGGCTTGAATCAAAACAGACCATTGGCTGCCACTGGCTTTCTTTCCACAATCCACCTTTATAAAACATCGTAAGAGCCTGGGATCTCGACTGTTCTCTTTCTGGTTCATAACAAAGGTGATAGTTTGACCGGATTATCCGAAGAGGTTCACTGGCTCTAAAGAAGAACGACCAAGATTCTTTTTGGGATAGATGCCGGTGCTGGACGTTGGCATGTAGAGAGGTGGAAGCACACCGGCATCACTGTTAAAAGCACACCCGCTCATTTGATGCCTTCTCCTAGAAGATTGCTTCTTCTGGTAGAGTGCATAACGTCGCTTGATGCGTCACTGGACATGGAGGTCGTAAGCACATTCAGATTTAAGATAAGACTCATCCCCCCTGGCACAGGGGAATTGATGTTCATTTATGCAATATTCAGTAAACGAAGTTTTCCACACATCAGCCATGCCAGCACCTCGTTGTAAACTCTGCGGGAGCAGCCGCTTTGGCCGCGACCGACCGACGAACAGATACAGGTTTCGACCATGCTGTGGAGGTTACAAGGATATGCCTCAAAAACAGATAGGTATTATAGAGGGCTCCTGGAGCGTAGCAACGTACGGTTGGCGAGGGTTCGAGCCCCGGCAAAAGCACCAAGTATTTTGGGGTTTTTGAGACTTCGGTTGATATTCTAGCTAGTACGTGTGCGCGGTATGCGTGTGCGCGGTGTGCGTGTGCGCGGTGTGCGTGCGAGTTGTGCGCTTGGCGCCCCGAGAGCCTCGGTACGTGCGACTGCCTCGGCAGAGGGCGGCCTCCGGGAGGGAGTGCGCGCGCCTCGAGGACGAGTCGCATAGGAGGAGGGGATAGTGTCACGAACACGTGACTAGTGAGCAGGATATCAATTATAGGTCCAGAAAACCAAGCACAAATGCTTGGAATTCAAGTCTTTTTGGAGTACACCCCTACTCCTACGGCCGTGGACCTATCCGTGACATTATTAGTACAAGGAGAGCTGTCGTCGGGCAGACGAAAGTGTTAAATAGCGAGGCCCGGAAGCAACAAGACCGCATCGGGCAGAGACTGAGAACGACTCATTAACGTTGAGAATACCGAGGATCGTCCGGGCAAAGGGTGTCGATAGGGACAGAGACGCGGCAAACAAACGGACGGAGCTGTGAGAATAGGTCGGACTTGGACCTGGGCACCCTAGACACGGATGAGACTTGAAATGGTCGGCGGTAGCCTACGCGGGCTCAAGCTCAGTAGAAAGAGTTGACGCCTTCCTAGAGGGAGACCGGGGTCGACGGTTGTTTCGGCTGCTGGATCTGCTGCTTGCTCTGCTCCCTCCCCTGGAACGTCCTCCCGCCCACCTGCAAGGGTCTCTGTGTTCGAAGTCACTTGTGGGAGGCGTCATCTGGTTCAGTCCTTTCCGCAACGAGCCGACAAGCCTCTCCTCCAATTGCGCCATGTCTGATGTAACCCACTCGAGGGTCATTCGCCTCGTAAATTCCACAGCGTTCATGGCATTCCGGTAGGCTTCTTTGTATGCTCTTCCGGAGGGATCCAGCGCGCTGGCGCAGCTAAGGCACACAGAGTGGAAGTCCGGAGTTCCTGAAGCACTTTGGCACAGATAATGACCACAAAGAGATATTGACTCTGTTGTCAGCTCCATCGTCATCACTCGAATGACTCCAAACATCTCATGCTCTTTGCCGATAGCTTTCTTCAACTGCAGCATGTTATTCAGCATGATGGCTGCGTTGCTGGAGTTTTGGAGTCGTGCAATATCAAGGTGGCCCTGGCGTCCTTTGGCTTCCACGGTGAAGTACGGCCACGCCAGGTTTCTGGCTGGGGACATCGAGGGCTTGATGAGTAGCGCAGCGTGTGGAAATGGGAAAGTATCTGGAGTAAAGCCGAATGCTTGAGCAGGTCGAGGAGGACTGATGGCTGGTCGAAGTTCCGGTTTCAATAATGTATGACGGTCCCATTGCTGATTTACTGGAAGTGCATCGCGTTGACTGTCCCAGAAGCGGTCGAGAATAGGCAGAAGTTTCGGTAGTAAAGCCTGCATGACACCACCTTCATTTACACTCTTGCGGACCCTCCTCGGGAAGTTCTCTGCGCTGTCATCGCTAGGTCCGGGACTCTTTCTGGTGCTGCCTAGAGCGCCTCTCACTTCGGTGATGTTTGTGGGCTCTGGTGCGTTGCGGGAAAGGGCGTAAATGCCTCGGTCTTTCAGCAGGGTCTCAAAATCTGGGTCGGTCGGCTTGACCACAGCAGAGCGGTCCGACTGAGAACTGATGTAAGACTGCGACATCTCAGATTCTGTGGAGTCGTCCGAAAGTAGACTTGCGCTGTTCACACGGAGGCTTTTCTCTTCGATGCTTGGTCGATCTGCGTTGCACTCGACGGACAGGTCGACCGGGACGCTGGAGAAAGGTTGGCTCGTCGGGGCACTTTGAGTGTCAATCCAATCTATGATTCTGGCGACCGAAAGATCTGTCTCCGGTCGTTGAGGCGGCAATATGCTCCAGGGCTTGCACTGACGCTTGGTCGCTCGAGAGGTTTGCTGGATATTACTCTTCGGACTCTTCAGAGATGGAGCAGTACGGGAAGTGCGCTTCGGTGAAGAGCTATGGCCGTTCTCGTCGTAGGCGGGTAATGCCGTATCTCTAAGATCGAAGGACGGCTTTCTCTTCTTTGGCATAGAATGGACAGTCGGTGGCATTCTGGCGGGAGTCTCAGCACGCCAGATCCATGAGACGGGATGTTTACAATTGTTGAGGTTCGGCGATAGCTGAAACAAGGGCAACTTGGAGGCAAAAGTGCAACCGAGCAGCGACAGCCAACTTATTAAAGTCTACTGGGTTGTGCCATTCCAAACTCCTCCACAGCACGAGGCGTTGTCGGCGCCAAGAAGTGCTACAAGGTTGTGAAACTTGAAAGACCTACAGTACTACTGTACAACTTATCAACTTCTTCCTTCGAGTTGTCCACAGCCTGAGCATCGCTTTTCCCCACCGCGATGCAATGAGCTGAACTCAAGCTCATTCCATTCTATGATCATGGACACGGTCAATATACCAATCAAGGGCTACGTTGATTCAGGCACCTTATCGTCTCTCTTGGCACGTTACAGCACCATGCTTGTTTTCTATGGTAACTGCCGGCCATCGGCTTCTGCGCTGGTGGTGTCAAAGCCGGTTCAATCGCCGCGGGAGTGCAAGCCCCTCTGTACGGGGCTTTCTGTAACACTACGCGTTTCTAGGCCTCTGGGGTTCTTCGAATATCCTATCTGGGAGGGAATCCCGATAGCTCCGGAATGCAAACTTGGACCTTATAAACGTTGATGCAAATGCAAGACCGAATTTTCCTCCTGTGCCAGCTCAGGGCGGACACTCCAGAAAGTCAAGTGGGGACACTGGAGCAACTTGCAACATCGAGGATGATTTAGCGATCCACTCATACAGAATACAGTCTCAAGGACAAACTAGAAGCCCGATGATGAATCGGATCCGGAAGTCCTTGCTGGTAGTAGCGCGGTGGCAGGGCAGGGCATCTGGATATTCAGTTGGCTTGACATCATCCCATCCTTTCCTTCTACTCTTGCTTAATACTCGGGACCTCTTCGATTTCCAAGTTCTGTTTGCGATGGACCTGCTCGTCGGCCAGAATGTCATCGCAAAACTTGATTTTGGCGAATTGGCGGGTGGGCGTCTTGTTTTCGTACAGGGAGTCGAGTTGTTCGAGAGAAAAGCCCTTCATCTCGGGGAGGAAGAAGAATACCCAGGCCACAGTGACGAAAGAGAATGCCGACCAAATAAATCCCTAGAATTTTCACTGTGTGTGTTAGCCTGATTTGGGCAGGGAAGGGGCCCAGGATTTGACAAAGCCAGGTGGACGCAGGGGATCATATATGCTAGATATGTTATGCTTACAATCTTGCCTTGCAGATTCCCATAGCCCTTGTCTGGATGTAGGGCGAGACGGAAGAGATGAGTAGCGAAACGCCGAACCCCAGGAAGACGGCGGTGGCGAGAACCCGCTCACGGTTGCGAGTTGGGGCAGTTTCGGCGGTAGTGATCCAGATCAGCGGCGACATTATTCCGAATCTGATGTTCCAGAGCGATGGCGGCCTTGGAGGTGGCGCTGCTCGGGGGTTTGATGGTCGTGTTGATGATGGAGATGATCAACAGGGTGATAGCACAGTACAGGGCCGTGGACATCAGAAGCGGGCGGCGGCCGAACCGGTCCGGCAAGTAGTGACCGCTGAGGATGGAGACCCAGTAGATGACATTGATGGCCATCAGGATGAAATGGCTGTTGAATAGGAGGGCCTGGGTATTCAATGCGGGTGGGGTGCGGAAATGACGCTGCGTAGAATTTGGGCATAGGACTGGCCACACCGTCTGCCCAAACCTTTTCCTGCTTTAGCCACGATATTCAGGTACCATACCGCCGTAACTGTGCCAGCCCAAGAACATCACATCGCGTGGTTCCAGTGCAAGACTGTTGATGCCAGTCTGGCCAGCCTTCGACCGCTGCCTTGTCCTTGTACAAGCCCGGTGCCCCTTCTGACGAGCATCGGGAACAGGAATGACAACATCAAACATATAGTCATCCTCAGTCCATATGAAGCACAGGTACTTCAGCCAGACGTACACCGCTCGAAACGGGTGGCCCTTCATATTTATACACCGCGACCGAACCTCGCCATCTGCCCATTGGATAGGTCAGACTTGTAAGTTGTTTCAGGAATGGCGGCATCACCGACGTTGCAACCTCAATTCATTATCCAGTTGAATTTGTTTGCCGGACGGCTCCACTAGGACTCTTTCAGCGGGTATGTCGAGGTTTGTACTGCACCTGGCCTCGGATGGCAACAGGCCGAAGAACGGAGCACCATCACCGCCGATGGTTTTATTATGGACGGCGAGATAAATGCGGCATCCAGTTTCAACGAGAGTCCGGTGCCCTTTCTCCGAGTGCTCATGACAGATATTCGGAAGAACTGCGAGGAAATAGACAAGACTTGTGTGGTGGCAATATCGGGCGGCCGAAAACTTCACTTGCTGGACCTAGCACGTGGGAAGATGTAATTTTCCACGGATCCGAAAACATCTGAAGTCGTGACCAGGGTTCAGATGCCAACCAGGGGCCCTTGAAGTTTCAGGAGAATCTGAGATTGCAGCCAGAGGATGATGAATTTTCACATCTTACCACCAGAAGCAGGTCGTGGTCGCTTCGAACAGTTCGAACTGGGTGGCAATTCGCTGGCTGGTCTTCGTTTCGAGCGTCAGAGGGCGCTCGATGTGTTCTCGAAGGGATTTCCACTGAGATGGTTGGAAGCATCTCATTCGCTCCTGAGCTTGAAAAGCGAGCAGCCAAGTTGCTTTACTAGAGTGACTTCTGTACGGCTTCATTACACAATCTCCTTGTCCTTTACCTAATCTTATTCACCAACAAGTTTTTGCATCTTTTCATGGTTCCAGTCGTCACCTAGGACTTCTCGCATGAGGTAGTCCGTCTCGTTCTGCGCATCGGAATTGGGGCTGTTGATCAGATTAGTCCAAATACACTGCGACCAATGCAACGACTCACAATGCAACTGATTGATTTGCCCTATAAACGTGCATGAGGGCATCGATTTGTGCGATTTCCGCGCACGAAGACCGCTTGACCAGCTTCGATTCCAGAGTCTCCATGAACGGGTGTCCGTGGATATACGCCTCTAACTGTATAGCCCACGTTTCGAAGATGGAAGGATAGAAGCCTGCACAGCCCCAATCCACAAGAGTGATCGAGTTGTCTGGGCCCAGGATTATATTGCGTGGAGCAATATCCATATGGCAGAAGGACAAGTCCATGTTCGTCACATCTATGGTGATTTCTCGCTGTAGATGTGATAGTCTGACCTCGAGGTAGCTTTGCAGATGATCTCGTGTGCCGAAACGCTGTCCTGAGGTATAATCGGACCATAGCAGACCTCGTGCGGGACTTCCATCGAGAGGGCCAGGACGATTCCCGTGGAAACTGTGAATGTGTTGGATGATTAGATCGACGCGGTGTACGAGTTGCAATGATGCATCCAAATCTAACTGATCGAGTGGAGTGCCTGGCACAAACCCCATGACCAAATACCCGGTCGTCCACAGCCCATATGAAGGTCTTGTGAAGAATTGGACAATGGACGGTACTCTCACGATTGCTGGATCAAGTGCTCGTGACGCGAACGCAAGTGCTTCAGCTTCAGCTGCAGTAACACCGATTCCAAATTTGGCCGCGATTGTGTCGGTCAACCTGACCACCAAATTGGTGGTATTGGAATGACTCAGGATATTGACCTTGTTCTCACGCAGTGCTGCACATCGCTTTATGATGATCTCTTGTGCTTCTGGACTGTGAAAATCCATGTCCATGATGGGACCTCACAATCGAACTTTTTGTGTGGTGATAAGAGAGGCAGGGTGCGGGACATGACAAAAGCAAGCAAGCAAGCACAGTGGTAGACAAGAAGAACAACTCTCCGATCCCCCCCCCCGCCTTGACCCTACGGTGGTGCACCAAGTCAGTGCAGTGCACTTCAAGTTGGGCTGACTAATAATCTCAGCTGGCGCTGAACGCTGCTGGCTGGCTTCCCGATGATCCCTAACAGGGCTTAATTAATACTAGGAGAATTTAATCGAGTCGATCATATCCGGGTCATAAAGCCCGCCAGCATTTGTCCGCGTTATCATATATTAAGACCATCATACCTAAAACATCAGCTTCAGTAAAACGAGCCCTTCAGCATTGGGAGAGCAACAGGGTGTTGGTTGCGGGAATAATTGAATTGGATGACCTGATTCAGGGTCGCCGTTGCATTTGTATCTCCAATGTACCCTGCATTCACCAGGTCGCCAATGATGGTCAATCTGACGAAGTTAGTATTGGTCAACGTAGGGAGGGAGGGAAATGGTGCAATACACCCAATGTCGACACCCAACCCCCGTCGGAGTCATTCGGTACCGGTTTCGCCTCTTCTCGCCGATTAGTTTGAGGATTCTTCCGACTGTGATGTTGTCTGTGGCGGGACAGTCCCAATGACGGACACAGCTAGTTGTCATTTCGTACTGGTGGCGCGTCACTTTGAAGATGCCTTCATGTTTTCCAGGAGTGGGATCGGTCTCCATATTAAGCCGCACCGAGCCGCCACCTTTGATGATCAGGTAGATCGACCAATGGTTCTGACTGAGTTGTGCTCCTGGTGCCACTGGACCCATTGTGTGCGCAACGACACGAACAACTTCGACGATAAGATCTGGGAGAGCCGTTGCACTCGTCATTCCGAGACTTGAAATATGAAGTGATGATGAAAGCATAGGAGGTTTTCATCATTTGCTTTCACCATCACAATTTGGACATGCATTGTTCTTATAACAATGCCAGGCGCTAGCCTACACATTATCACACATAAGATGGGCGTCAACTCTGGTGTTTGGTAGTATGCACTTCTTTGGGGGTCCATGAACTGATACGTCCCTTTCCAAACTCCTCGCCAAACTCCTCGCCAAACTCCTTTCCAAACTCCCTCCTCGACAATCTCCTTTTATAGTTCTCGTTCCAGTACCCTCGGAACCATTGGCTCGACCTTGGTATTTTGAATGAGCCATGGAAGATGATGACAACGACGAACACACCATTCTGTCTACACCCACCATTCTTTCTTTATTTCAAGAACGATTTAGTAAGGTTCATCGTCTACCACGTGGTCTGAGAGATTCATGGAAAGTCGCCCAACGTGCCTCCCAGGGCTCACTCGATAGAATCTTCCTGGACCAAGGGGACATCCCCTGGTTTGTGTACCACCTCCTCAAGCATCAAATAAATGGTTCAAAAACATTTCCGAACAAAGCCAAATGCCGCAAAAAAATCGCTGAGCTAGAAAGTGTTTCTGAAGACGCTCAAAAAGCGTTTGCCAATGATTTGGCGCGGCTCATACCGCCAGCGACAGTAGCAAAGGTCCGATCTACACTGGGAGATACTCTGTCTACCAATCTAGGGAAAAGACCTCGTGAGTGCCTTCAAAGGGTCGGGTTGTCTCTGCTGATGGCATGAAGGTATGACAGAGGGCAATCATGAGTCGACAAATTATTGTGTCCTCAGCACTCGGGATCAAACACCACAACAAACATTTCTCAGTTCAGATGATCATGTCCTTCTAGATTCGCCGCTTGCAAAGGCCTCACTCTTCTATCCTACTTATCTCTTTGAGGGGATTAAGAGGGGTCCGAACTCAACTGCTGCCGTCTCGATGACTTTTCCAGCCACGGACAAATATCCAAAGCCACGGGTGTTCAAGTCAATCTGTGTTATGGCCAACAAGATCGAACATCTTGCCGCTACTCTGTTCGGAGTCCACATCGAAAGTAACGCAGGACTTCGATATGTTTTTTTCCCTGGCGGGGCTAAGATCCTACCAGAGCCCAGGCTTACTTTGCGCGGGTGTCTGCATCGTGAGATTTCGCCCTATTTTGGCATGGAAACGTACCGCGCTATCGCCGCAAACCCAGATTTTCAGGAAGAATTGAAGCAGGGGTATGATCGTACAAACTGCCTGTGGATGGTGATTACAGGAGACGCTTCCGAAGCCGCAACTTTCTTCCTCGCTCTCGCACCCAGAGAGGGTACTGAGGTCAAGAATAGACTCTATGGATAAATGTAAGCACCCCAAGTCGGACAACTTGAACTGCCTTCCATCACATGTTCACCATACCCTCGCGACCTGTCAGCCAAATCTCGACTCCTCGGTCCACTGTGCCTTTCCCACTACACAGGGGATATGTCTGCGTCGGCTCTGTAAAATTTCCATTTTCATAGACTCTGACAACGCATGAGCGCCATGAGATTTCCTGGCCGACACCTTTGATCCACTGGGGCGAGGCCTGGGCTTGGTCGAATTTTGTGCATGTATCGAATGGTTTGATATGAAATGGCTTGATTCGGTCAGCGTGATTCTAGCTACGACGGCTTGCGAAGGATAAGGACAAACCATTGCATCTGGAATCTAGAATATTTCCGGGTTTACCACGAGGCAAAGCTTAGTTCGCACGCAGGCTCTCGGAAGTCGGTATATCGATAACGATCGAAGGCTTCGCTGCCAGGATTGAGAAAGGGGTGGAGTAGATAGCGGCATGGTTTTATTCAATTCGTGGTGGTTGTGCAAATGTTAAAGCACTCTACTAGTAGAGCTGCCATGCTGGATTCCTTGGAAGGGGAACGAGAATAGAAAAAGTCGGTCGCCGCGGGTGTGTTTGGTTATGGAAGATGAGGGGGTTGGGAATCAATCTCGGGTACGTCATGGCATGGTCTTAGGCACATTGGTCACGACAAACACGACTTTACTGAGGACTTTACTGAGGACTTTACTGAGGACTTT